ATAACACCATTATAGGTAATTCAAGAATTGAATTAATTAAAAAAGGTTAAAAATTCTCATATTTTCCTGTATTATTATATAAAAATTTAAGATAGAAAAGGAACTGGCATATTTTGATTGGTTTGATTATGTAAAAAGTGTTTTTGAAAGTTATGAATCTTGTTTCTGTTACCAAATCCTGTTATAAAATTCAAGATGAGAATATCAATAATTTTAAAAGAGAGTTTGTGTCTGAAAGTCAAAATTGTGATTCTTTTATTTTATTAGGTTGGTTTAAAATAGAAGATATCATTAACTAAGGTATATCCATTTATAAAATTAACATCTAATTTTGAAGATTCAAGTTTATCTAATGATAACTTATCACCTTTTTAAATTCAATATAAATTATCAGATATTTAAAATTAAATTATTATAAAAACTTATAGCTACACTTTTCTGATGATACAAAAAAGATGAATTTTCGTTCAAAAGTACTTTATATAAAAATTTTGAAAGCTTTAATGTTGACGAAATAATAAATATTAGTTGTGCAATGTGTGAAAGAAGGCTTTATTTTTGATTTTATAATTGGAGAATACTTTAGAAGATAATAAAAAATTTTAATTTTCGTTGTTTAAGATCATTTATCAATTTATATGGTGTTGAAATTTGTACTCTACCTTCATAAACAGATTTTAGCATTACACCTGAAATAATAAATTGTGAGAAGTATTATTCTAATTGTTTATAATGTGTACTTACTCCAAAATCAAGACTTTAATGTGCAATCTGTAATAAGGATATGTGAGTTCAATAATCTCAGGAAATTGCTACTAATTTATGTTACTTAAGGAAATGATTTTGAGGAAGATGGATATGTCTAATTGATTTAAAATTTTATGATGTAATTTTTACCTGATTAATATTATTAATAATTCACTGCAGATTATTTAAAGAAAATTGAAATTAAATGTAAAAGTAGATATTAATTAACAATATATTAAGAGTGTAAAAATATTGCAGCAATTAATGCTTAAACTGTAAAGTTGATTATTTTTCTTTTCTTTGTTTGAAATGTCCTTTATATTATTACAAATAACACATCAGAGTTGAATTGGAAGGACAATGTGTCACTTGTTCTAATTTATGCCAATATTGTTAAGTAAGAAATGAAGAAGAAATTTCTGTAAATTATTAAATTTATATTAGGCTTTGCAATCAAATTTTTTGCTGCAAATGCATAATTTATAACTAAATTTTTTAAACCAATTGATGATCCTCAACTAATCATCAATCCTTATTTTGCCAATGCTAAATATTGTATTAACGAAAATTGTTACTTAGATTTTCCTATTCTTGGTATTTTTAATTATGTGACATTATAAGATATTTTATAAATGCCTAGAAAATGACATAAATTGTTAATATTGCAACCTAGTTGGGGTAGATTAAATGACAATAAATTATATTTTTACTATTTTTGATGCAGAAGATTGTTATTTTGTTTAATCACTTATAAATTGGAATGAATTAAAAAACAAATCTTTTCTTTAAAATAAACTTAAATGAGTGCCTCTTCAGTTCATCAAAATATATTGATATCAAATTATCAAATAAGCATAATTAATTATGATTCGGTTGAAATCAAAAACATAATATTTACTTTACATCGTGGATTTATTTTAGAAAATACTAACAAAAAGGTTGATATAACATTAAAAAACGTAATTTTCATTCAAAGCAACTTTTCTGATGAAACAATTATTAAAACTTAATAGTATGGTAATATTGTATTCTTGAATTTTAAGATTACATTTCTATCTTAATAATTCTACCTTTTTTGAGTTTTGAAAACAATCGATTTCAATTTCAATTAAAATACAAAAACTAACTATTAATTTCAAAATAAACAATAGACAAGCAATAATAACGATTGAGGATATTCTTATTGAAAATTGTTAAATGTTCAATTCTTCATTTTCTCTTTCTAATCAGATTTAAACAATGATAATTAAATCCAATTTTTTGATGTTAGAATTAATTAATGTAATTTTACTCTTTCCTATTTTATTAAGAGCTATGATAAATTTAATATTATTGCAAATAAACTCTCTTTATATAATAACAATCCTAAAAATTCAGTGATAATTGCTTTTCATGATAATATAGAATTAAAGAATGTTAGAACAAGTTATAATATACTTATAACATCAGCGATTCTATCAACATAATTTAGTAATTGATGATTTTGAAGATAATTCAAGTGCTTTTTAAGAATCAAGTTTAATCATTATTTTTTCTAATTTTTAAATTAATAATTTTATAGTTAGTATTAAAAATATTAAAGTTTAGGAAAATAAACTACTTAATATGTTACAAAATTTCCTATTTAAATTGCATAGCCACTAAATAACAATCTAAAATACTTAATTTTTAAATTTGCAAAATTTGGCTATGTTTTATCTTATTGAAATTAACTAGATCATTTTTGATTGTGTAGTATTTGAAAATTCTTAATAAAAGTATAAAGTTCCTATTTCATAATTATGTACTGAGTAAACCAGATTCAGGAATCAACTATTGTATGTTTTAGGCTTTCAATAATCATCAATGTCAAATATTAAAATTGCAAATCTATTCAGTATTAATTATTCATTAATGGATTTAAATTATAGTCTTTAGTTCATTCTTGATTTAATAGGATAAATAATACTAGTGAATGTGTAATTTATTGGGAATATTATTCTACAAAACAAATAAATCACTTCATCTTTGGTTACTATAGAATCAAAATATAATTTAAATATTAAATTATTTAGATTTTTAGTTTACCTAAAATATTTTAAATTAATAAATCAATGAGCCATTTGACATATAAATTAATTTATTCCATATAAATTCAGTAGAAAGCGTTATTAAAATTCATAAATTATATTGTTATCAGAATGCCTTAACTAATTCGACCAATCCTTTATCACAATTACCAGCTATTTGATAGAAATATCTAATTTAATATACATGAATTCAAATTTATTATCATAGACTTTATGGCAACAATATTATGATTTTTAATTGGATGATTAATATTATTAACAAGAAATTAACTCAATTATTCATTAAGGAATTTCATATTGTAGCTTCAACTTTTCGTTGTACGGAAAGTGTTTTTTAAGAAATTGTGCTGCTAAAAGTTTTATTTTTTAAATTTAAACCCAAGGATCAGGAAAAATCAAAATTAGTAACGCTAATATCGATTCTGTTTATACTAATCTAAAAGATAGTGAAAATTCAGGTTCTATATATATAGACTCATCTAGCAGCCTTTTAAATGTTGAGCTAAATAAAATATTGTTCTGTTATCTAATATTGAAATAAAAATTGCATTTCCTTAATGAATACATGTTAGCTAAATTTTCGTCACAAATTATGAAATAAAGTTAAGTAAGTATTAATAATTTATCAATCTATTCAATTGAAGAATTATGGATTTATTTTTTTTCTATGATTGGTTAAATAACATTATTAGAATTAGAGAATTTATATAGAGAAGATAATGTTATGATTTTTTTGAAAATTGTTAAATTTAAATATAAAATCTAGAGGTTGAAGGAATAACTATTTCTCTTATTTTAAAATTTTAAGGCATTTTAAAATTAAAACTTTTTAATTGTAAGTTAACCTCAATTTAAAAATTATATTCATTTGATCTCGTACAAATAACCTTATCCTAAAAAGCAGAATCAACAATTTCTATTGAAAAACTAAAGATAATTTAGGGTTAAACATATAAACAAAAAATGGATAGAATTCCTAATTTATCAGATTTGAATTATAAAATTGCAGTATGCAGTCTGTGGAGGGATCCAATTATGCTAGCAAATCTGGTGGAAGATTGTATTTATAGCTAAATGATTCAGATTTTTAAATTGAATCGACAATAATTTCAAATAACAAGGCTTAAGATGGAGGAGGAATTTATTTCAACTCTGAAGGAATTTACTTCTTCATAATTTTATTAAATCATTTTTACTATTTAATATAGCGCAATAATTTGGAAATAATCTTATTGAATCTCCTCATCATTTATCATTGCTTATCAACAAAATGGAAATGCAAACTATTAAATAAAAAGTTAATTAATAGCTTAATTATAATTTAGCGCTTAAACCCTATACAATCATTGAACAAGGAATGACTCTATACAAATTATTTAATGATCCCAAGTAATTTAGTTATTTAAAAATATTAAATTTATTAGCCCAAAGTCAATAAATATTTTCCTATATTTCAATTTTTAGTTTAATTCTAAAGAACAGTTTAAACGAAAAAATTCCCAACATTCTTTATACAACATGCATTTTAATAAATATATTTTAAATTTTAGTAGTTATTTCCTAATATATAGGATTGTTTCAATATTAAAAGAATTCTCATTTTACCTTGGCAATACTATAATTTAGGTTCTATTTCTTTTATTATTGATCCTTATAATTAAAAAGAAAAACTTTTATAGATTGAGATATCCTGTTATTTCTCGAAGTCAAAGAATAATTTGAATTATACTATGTAAGCAAAAAGCTTAAAATGCTAACTTAAAGAATTTTATGTAAATTCTGGATGTTAAATTTGCTCATCAAGTGAAGGATTTTATTCTGTAGTATATGATGCAACAAAGTGTTCAATATTTGATAATACAAAATTTAATTAAATAACTGAAAATAATATAGAATTATTAAAAGGTTTTGGAAACCTAATTATTTATCTGATTAAGTAGAAGAATGCTTTAAAAATACATATTGGAGCATTATGTGAAGAATGTGATATTTATAATATAAAAGGAGAGGAAAAATATTTTTAAAATTAAAAGATTCTAAGTGAATTTCTTGTTTTGGTGTTGAAGACAGCATAATTCCATTTATGCAGCATCAATTTGGTAATTTAATTTAATATTTAGGTAATTTATTTCGATCATTATAACCTTAAAGAGTATATAGTCATCTAATCAATTATTCAAAGGATAAAAACTATAATAAAGGTTTAGCAAAATTATTTTTAATCTTGACTAAAGTATAGATATAAATTATTTTAAGGACATGAAGGATTCTTAATAAAAATGCTATTAAATTATTTATGGATATTCTCTGTTATTTTTACATTTAAAAATATAAAATTCTCCTTTTCTATTACTTTTTTTGATGCAGCTAGTAACACTTACCACTCAATGACTAATAATCTAGATTATCAGGAAATCAATCAAAAAAATTAATTTATTCTAAAATAATTAGAATGCTTGTACTCATTAAATTATAATTTATACTTATAATAATTGGATTTCTTATGTATAATTAGCATAATAAAATTAGATTGTGCAATTTTAAGTTGGAAATTATTTCTAATACTCTACTTTACCTTTATATTTTTAATTATGGTACATTGATTAAAATGTTATTCTATTTTTAATATTTAGGTATTTTTCCATTCTCTCAAAAAGAAATGTTTCAAGTTAGAGTTACATACAGGGCGATGTTTCTCTTCTTTTTGGATCTAAGGAATATTTAATTTGGATTATCTCTTTAGTTATTCCAGAAATTGGAATTTTTAGTTTAATCATTCCTCTTTCCCTTTTTGTAATCATGTACATTAAAAAAGATCAATATGATAACATTAAAATTAGAAAACATTTTTGTTATCTAATCAATGAATACAATGTTCAAAGTTATTTTTGGGAAGAAATAAAGTTAATTAAAAAGACAATTATTATTCTAATACTAACATATTTTGAAACTTTTATTTTGCTTAAAGCATCATTGTTAGGGTTATGTTTACTTTTTTATTAGATATATGTTTTAATAAGAAACCATTTATTCTTTCCAATTTGAATAATATGGATTTATCCTCAGCATAAATTGTCTCTATTACAATTTTTCTGGCAGCTGTTAAATATGAAACTAAGCAAGAAAATAATTAGTTTTCATCAATGTCGCTTTAGACTATTATTGTTCTTCTTTGTCTTAAACTTTGCTATTCATTTATCAAGAGCATATTTGAAGTTTATTCAAAAAAGTACTCTTTCTTAATCTTAATGTATTTACATTTAATTTTGAATAAGATTTCTTCAAATTCAATTTTAACAAAAAAGTTTACTAAGATTACGTTAAAGAAATGAGAGATTGAAAATATTGATGATTAAACTTAAATAACATCTATTAAAGGTTTCTAATTCCAAATTGAAAATCACAGAATATTCTAACCTTTAATAGTAAAACCACAAAAGATTTTGGGTTTGAATAAAAATACTTTTTCAAAATAGATAGTGAACGATATTTTCATAATCAATATATGAAACTATTTTATATTTTTTAAAATTTAGCTAGAAATATAAAAATTTTTAGTTATTGTTTATATTTCATAAATATTCTACTTATATATCATCTCGTATTTCATTGATATTCATCCTTTTTTCTGATTGTAAAAATATTATGCTGTTCATTTTAAAGTAATAAAATTTTTAGATAGGAAGAAAAATAAAAATGAGTATAACTAAGATTTAATATTTAGAAATTTTGTAATATTAAATTCATTAAGACAAAAAGTCAAAAACAGATGATTATAGGTCAATTATTATGGCATTATCTAAGAAATAGGCCAGCAGATTCATTATGGTCATTTTGAATATAAGCATGTAATATATTATTAGTAAAATCTTTTATTTTAGAATAATATTTACACATACTAAAATGGTTTAATTGATATTAGAAAAGTTTCAAATAGTATTTCAGTTTTTGATTTTAAATTTGAATTAAAAGTTAAATTTTTCAAAATAATAACTTAGGTCTAGTTCAATTGATTTAGAAGAAATAATAAAAATTATTGAAAAATTATAAGATTGAATTTTAGAAAAAGTTAAATTTTTCATGTGTCATTTTAGATGAAAAAATTCTAAGGGATGTTGGATAATATTAATGAATTACCTCTTTTAATTAACAGTTTAAAGTTTTATGCAAACCATAAGAGCTAAATTTTTCTTGCTGTATTATTCCATTTTCATTAATCATCTTCTAACACTCATAAAGATAAATCTCATTTAAACCATGCCCTCGTTAAAGATTTCCACTAAAATTATATTGAATAGTTTTTAAAGAAAAATCTCTTAATTTTTGTTGTAATTTAAGAAATCCTTATTAAAATTTTTGTTAATCAAATTTAAGTAATTAATAGTAATTGAACTTTAAATGTTTTTCAAAATTATTAAATTGATTAAGCTATAATACTAATTATCTTGAAAAGATATATTACTAAAGTGATTCTGGATAGGTAAACCACTCTAAATTAACCGTTTATAATTCCAAATGAGTTAGCTAAAATTTAACACTCGTAAAATATTATATCTTCTAACTTGCTTTTTTATTTATATAACCAAGGTAAAAGTTTTAAGAAAAGAAGAAATAATTTTAAATTTATAAATACTTAAAACAACGATCTTTTGAATAAGGATTCAGAGTCAAATATTTTTTCAACAAAAGTGATATTTTTTATAATAGCAACACCCTATTTGCTAATTTAATTTTCCTTATAAATGTACAATTTGTAAAATTTGAATTAATATCAATAGAATGAGATTCAACTTAATCTTATTAAATCATACGTAAATAACAAAAGCAATATCTTAAAAAGTCACAATTCCTTTAATTTATCTTCTCCATTTTCAATAAGTATGGTGTCGTATTCAATGTTACGTTTTGGATTAATATATTATAAAATTATAAAATTTTAACATTTTCTAAAGTAATTTAAAAAATTTATATTGTGAAAAGTATAAATCTGATCGGTGAATTTAATCCAGAATAATTTATTTGAGGAAAAGCCTTTTAAAATAAAATCTCAATACAAAAACCATAAAAATTACCAACCACAATTATATTCTCAAAATTTATTTTACTAAAACTAATTAGTCCTAAGTTAGTTTGAAGAAAAAAGTCACCCTAGGTTACTAAAGAAATATGATAGGTTATTTACATTAGAGAAAATATATTTTCAGAAAAAATTTATTTAATTTTTTCATCAGTAAAAATAGTAGGATATGAAGAATTTCGAAGTTTCATTTTGATTAATAGAGATTTAATAAATTTTGAATTTGCTAATGTGTAAAGCTTTTATTCTCGAACAAAAATAAATTAATAATTAAACTTCTTTAACTCACCCATTTGTTGAAACCAGATATTACAATAAAATATTTACTTTTTGAAATTTAATTTTGCTTGTCTTTCAATTAAGATAGGTCATAATAATATTATGTATAATTATTGTATAATATAACTAAATTATTAATCTTTTTTGAAAAATGTTTTCTTGGCTTGATTATAATGCGGTATAATGATTCAATAATTTTTGAATAATAATAATAAAAATTCAGAATAATCCTTTAAATAATCTTAGATTATACAACAAAAGAATTTTGGTAAAATTCCCTGTTAATTTAATCATGGATCTCCTATTAAATGTTTGATTTTTGATGTAACTAAGGAAAGGTAAGCTACTTACTTTTGTGAAAATGCTTTATTATGTAAGTTTTACCTTAAAATACAAAACCTTTGGATAAAGTAAAAGGATAGGTGATTTAACAAAAATAATTATCACTTGAATTAGGAAATATGTTGATTTAGAAATAAGAATAATAGGTGGAATATTTAGGATTATAAATTGATAATTCCAAATCATTCATTATATATTAGTTATATTAATCTAAACAAAATATAAAGATGCGAAAATAATAATTTGAGGTTTTCTATGTGCAAGAAAATGAAATTTAATGTTGAATTAGAAGTGAAATATTTGCATTTAAATCTGGAAAAATATAAATTAAAAGAACTTATCAGACTTTAGGCAAAAATTCTAAATTACAATTAAACTTTTAATCAAAAAAGAGACCAGAAAATACATCAATTTCTTGATTTAAATTTATGAAACCATCAATAAATTTTAAGAAGAATTTAAATTAAGAAAAAATAAATAATTCAAAACTTATCTTTAGGATAGTAACATGATATGAGAATTAGGATTTCCTAACTCATTTGTTTACAAATTTTTATCAAAGTCATTTTCAGAATAATAGTCTTCAAATTATCATAATACATTAATATACTTTATTTTATTTTAATAATCAAATTTAAATTAATCATCATTAAGCGAAGAGAATTTTATAATCAAGAAAGAATTCTCATCTGCAAATATACTTTGTATGCCTTACTAAATTGATATCATCTAATTATAAATTAGAAATAATATTTTATGATATATGACATATCTAATAATACTTATAGTTTATTTGTACAAATTAGGAGCTAAATTTGATTGATGAGATGGAAGAAATATGTTCTTCTAGAGCTTTTGGATTTTTTTAAGAATTTATATAAACATAGCCATATATGATTTCTATTGATGAAATTATTTCCATCAGGAATTAAAGGATAATGAACCAATAGATATTTTAGAAATTATTAGTGAACACTAAATGAGTTTCGCTTTCAAATAATGAAATTTAAATATTATCACTCTACCATTTATGATAGAGAGTTTATAATCAATAAGTAATAATTATAAGATTTTACAAACACAAGTAATAATAATTCCATGAAATTATCATCATTATCTCTAAGTTTATGATTTATTGATAATTACCTGTCCTAAACCATTCTCAATCATATAAATTAACAATTAGAATAGAGATTTATGAATTTAAAATATTACTATAAAGAAATATTTTACTTATAAAAGTAAACTTTGAAGTTGAGCGCTTTTTTTTGTAAAGTTATGGAACTAAATATCTGTAAACCTTTTTAGACGTATAACCTTCCACAAATTAAAAATATTGAATGAGATTTATTACATAATTGAAAATAAATACTCATTCAATTACATTAAATTAAATAAAATCAATAATATTAAAATAGTTAATAAAGGTCTTGTAGCATTTAATTAGTTATATAACACTTTAATTGATTAGAATGACTTATATCTTATGTTTGTTTAAATACATTTAAATAAAGATGCTGATGTTTTCATTAAAATAATAATAAATTTGAAATAATTAAGAATTGTAATAATATAAGACTCGATTATTTAAGATTTAAAAAAATGGGACTAATCTTTATGATTCATATATAATTATTTAAATTAAGTTGTAATAATACTATTTCTCGCATGAGCATATATTAAATTTTGGTTTAAGGATTTTCAAATAATCAGTCTTTAATATATTTGAATTTATATATTAGGAAAGTAGATGCAATCTGATATTATGATTTGTTAAAGAATTTATAAAAAAACAAATTAAACCTATAATTACAAAATAATATATATTCAATAGATCTTGGATTATTTTTTTAAATAATATAAATAATTAATAAAAGATGGTTTAAAATAAATTCTCGATATTCCTATTTTGACAAGAATCATAACCTTAATAAAAATAATTGTTCATGGTTATAATCAAATTTAAGAATTGATGTATGACTTATATATAAATTCAAAGGAGTTAACAAGTACAGGCTTCATTTTCTACTACTTAATTTAATATTTCTTATTGTTTTATTTATTGAATATCTTAATTTTGTTAAATTAACTTATTATCAGTTTCCTATTTTTATTATTTGAATTCCTCTAACATTTATTATTTGAGAGCCTAAAACATTTCGAGAGTTTATTTTTAATCTAAATGATTGTCACTATTTTAATCTTATCTTAGAGCTGTTTAAATCTTTACTTCATAGCTATCAATTTTTTATATATAATTTTATGCTTCTTCTAAAGATATTACTTATTTTTTACGTAAGGTAATCACTTCCTCTTTAATTTTCTATAGCTCTTAGTCTATTTCATTTAATATATTGATCTTTTCAGTAATATACTTTAAATCCCCTTAATGAATGTTTAATCTTTGTAAATCTATTGATGTTAGATTTTTTGAAAGATCTTGAGCTTTTTATAAATACTCTTAAGATTCTGGAAATTATTTAAGAGTATAATAAATAAATCCTAATTAAGAATGAGATAATGGATCATTTGGTTTATTTTAAATTGTAATCAAGAAGTCTTGAATAGCTTCGTTATACTTCTACAATTTATATTAAGCTTGTCCTTTATATAAGATATTAATGTTGTACCTCGGTTATAATATGCATCAACATATGATGGATCTATTTCAATTGTTTTCGTGTAGTCTTAGACAGCTTCAGTATAATTCTACAATTACTAATAAGTATTCCCTTATTATACTATATTAATAAAATACCTTATTATATTATATTAAGATAATACCTCTATTGATATATGCATCAGCATATTATGGATCAATTTCGATTACATTCGTGTAGTCTTTTATAGCTTCGTTATACTTCTACAATTTATATTAAGCATGACCTTCGTATAAGATATTAATAATATACCCCGGTTATAATATGCATCAACATATGATGGGTCTATATCAATTGTTTTCGTGTAGTCTTAGAGGGCTTGGGTATAATTCTACAATTACTAATAAGTATTTCCTTATTAAATTATATTAATATTATACCTCTATTGATATATGCATCAGCATATTATGGATCAATTTCGATTACCTTTGTGTAGTCGTTTATAGCTTCGTTATACTTCTATAATTGCTAATAAGCATTCCCTTATTATAAGATATAATATTCTACCACGATTATAATATGCATCAGCATCTTATTAGTCGATTTTAATTGCGTTTGTGTAGTCTTATATTGCTTAGTTGTACTTCTGTAATTCTTTATAAACAACCCCTTATAATAAGACTTAAATAATATACCACGATTGCTATATGTAACAGAATAGTATGGGCGAATTTTTATTGCACTCGTGTAGTCTTATATTGCTTCGTCATACTTCTTCAATTAATAATAAGCACTCCCTTGCATAAGAAATCAATTTAATACCACGATTGATATATGCGTCACCATATTATGAGTCTATTTCGATTGCATTTGAATAGTCTTCAATAGCCTCGTTATACTTCTTCATTTACTAATATATACTCCCTAATTATAAGATATTAGTATTACCACGATTGACATATGCATCAGCATATCGTTAGTTAATTGAGATAGCTCTGGTGTAGCCATCGATAGCTTCATTATAAAATTGTAAATTTTACAATCCCAGTGCTACAAATATATTCACAATTATACCTTTATCGAAATAAAATTCACTATCATAATTTTATTATGACATATCTTTTTTTAAACTTGTTTAATAATTTAATTAATAATAATATATTAAGTTTCACGCAATTTGATTATCATAATTCCATACTAACTTTAATCCATCGCAATAATAATTCATCATCAGTTTACTTTCACCTTAATTTATCGAATTAAAATATATAATCTTCATCAAAATACTAATGATAATTAAGTATTTAATCTCTATATCCTATTGAGTTCAACTAATTACTTCTCCATTTATTTAAATTTTACTTAATTATACAACAAATTCTTCAAGAGAGTCTTGAGTGAAACCAAAATCCTTTTTTTTGTATATCTTTCGAAATAAAGTTTGTATCTTGTTATGGATATAATGCAAATTAAATTATGTAAATTGAATAAATTTAAGATCTTAAACTTATAAGATTATTAATTGTTGGCACTGCTAAAGTATCGAAAATAATTATTATAATAATCTTCTTCAAAAATTACGAACGAAAAGTTAGAGGCATGTCTTACTTAACACACAACTACATGTAATATTCAAATTCAAATTATATTATAATGATTAACCAAATTTTGGAATATTATTGTTATTTTTCCATAATCAAAGAAAAAAAATAGTGGAAGTTTGGATGTCGACTAATTATAATCTTGTTAAATTCTATGGGAAAAGAAATTACACAAATGATTTTCTATTTTTCAAACCAAAATTAATATGTGTATAAATAAATATATATATTTAAAAAAAAAAAAAATCCCAATTAAAGAAAAATAATACCTTGAGTAATGTTAATGGAAAATAAGAAATAGAGGAAAGAAAAATAATCTAATGAATACAGTGTAAAGTCTTATAATTGATTCTTTAAATTATTCTTTAGTTATTTTATTGAATGACCAAATGACCTGAATAAGTTATTCAGATATTAATCGAATTTAAGAATTTACTTGACAATAGGGGATTTGTTTCATTTTAAAAATCAATTAAGATGTGATCAAGAATAAAAATAGGTGCTTAATATTTTTATGAATAACTCGACCATGTATAAATACGAATCCAATCTCAATATTAACTCAAAACTAAGTTTAATTAATTTTCAACTTATTTAGACTGTTATTTGAGATTAATTTACTACTTTATCTTCTTTGTACTTTAGGTTAATGTTATTACGAAGAAAGAAAATCCGTTTGATTTTACTGATTACTCAGGTGATAAAATTGAAAGATTAAAGAAATATTAAATTTATTTGTTTTATTTAATATAAATATTTATTAAAAATAATAAAACAATAATTAAATATCATTAATAAATATGTTTAATAAAATTATGATAAAAAGATAAATTTAAATCTTTATATTAAATAGAAATATTGAAGCAGAAAGATATATGAAATACTATATCTAAAAATTATCTATTATATCCTCCTGAAAAGTTTAAAGTCTAACTTAAAAGAATCTTAATTAAAAAGATTAGAGGTAAGCAAAAATAAATATATCAGGTTTGAAACTTTTTTGTTAATTAATAATGTAAATAGCTCTCCACTTTATAGTATTAATGTAGTATTTATATTTGAATAAAAAGATAGATTAAAATATAAATAATTTCACAATAATAGTTAAAATAATTTAAAATTATCAATCATTGGACTTATTTTTAAATAATTTGAAATATCTTATGATAATGAGCTAATTATATATTCAGGAAAATATTATAATTAATTCCATATTTATTGGTAACAATCTTAAGGGTTGTTTTCAGAAACTACCCAAAAAATTACAAGAATTAATAGGAACATATTTTAGCTGAGTTATTTTTTTAGATATATTTTATCTAAACCAGATATTACTGAAAATATGAATTCAAATAAATTTATCAGAATTATTAATTTTAAATAAATAGGAAAAATATGATTAATCATTAAGGAATCAAAATTAATTATGCAATTATAAATAGAATCTAACATTTTTAGAAATGACTATTTCAAAGAGACAAAATAATAAAACAATATTGGTAATATATTCAATAATATTCAAAAGACTAAAAAAAATGAAAATCTACCTCATGATAAAATAGGAATAAGATGTTAAGTTATAAATGGAAATTCTGAAGCTAATTCCTTGTCATTGAATCATAAGTAATATCATTAATTAAGCCTTTCATCAATAATTTTCATTTGTAAAATAATTTAATATATTTTCAATAGATACAAAGATTAGAGAGAATCTAAATACAAATTATATTCATTTAATTCTCTTCTTGTTTTTATTTATTTATTAATCTCTCCTTCAATGAAATAATTATAATAATTAAAAAATAAAAAAATAAAAAAAAATTTAAACAGAAATCCCTATTAAATATTAAATAAATTAAGTCATTACTTAAAAAATAATGAAAAAGTTCAAAAAATACCATTTGATTTAAATCATTTATGTATGATAAAGTTGTTTTTTCAATGAAAAATTTATTCAAAAAAATTCGAGTTTTTTAATTAAAATTCAATTAAATTTTTTATAGAATTATGATCTATTTTAAATTTGCTACAATTAATTTGAAATCTCTATCAATAATTTAATAAAAAAAATCATGTTTCCTTAAACATAATCAGATTTGTAAAATTCAAAATTTAATAATTTTGATGAATTTGTTAAATAGAACACACAATCTTAAGAAAAGAAATAAGAAAATAATTCATTTATAAGATTTTAAACATATGTCCCTGAACCTTCTCATCATTTTTTGAACAATTTAAGATCAAAACCAGACTATCCTCAACAATAATTGAATTCTACTCAAATTAAAAATGAATATAAACAATGTAATTTTTTATAAATATTTAAAGAGACAATTTCTAAGAATAAATATGATGATGATGAATAAATTGAGGAATAAGCAAAGTAGAGTTTTTAAAAGTTTGACTTAGATAAAGAACTAATTTTTGAGATTAAGACATTGCGTAAAATGATTCAATTATCAAAAACATAAAATTAATATTTACCTGGAATAATTAGTATAAAAACAAAAGATTAAACAAATGAGTAAGATCTAAATAGGATTGGTGTAGATTTAGTAATATTATTGAACTTATTATAGATCTGTTTGATTGATAAAAGCTCAAGTATGCAAGGTAGAAAGATAGATACCGTAAAATCAAGCTTGAAAGTTCTATTAAATTTTTTAACTGATCAAGATCGTTTATCACTAATTGTTTTTAATGATAAAGCTTAAAGATTAACTCCATTAAAAAGAACAACATAAAATAACAAATAGTNCAAAGATTAGAGAGAATCTAAATACAAATTATATTCATTTAATTCTCTTCTTGTTTTTATTTATTTATTAATCTCTCCTTCAATGAAATAATTATAATAATTAAAAAATAAAAAAATAAAAAAAAATTTAAACAGAAATCCCTATTAAATATTAAATAAATTAAGTCATTACTTAAAAAATAATGAAAAAGTTCAAAAAATACCATTTGATTTAAATCATTTATGTATGATAAAGTTGTTTTTTCAATGAAAAATTTATTCAAAAAAATTCGAGTTTTTTAATTAAAATTCAATTAAATTTTTTATAGAATTATGATCTATTTTAAATTTGCTACAATTAATTTGAAATCTCTATCAATAATTTAATAAAAAAAATCATGTTTCCTTAAACATAATCAGATTTGTAAAATTCAAAATTTAATAATTTTGATGAATTTGTTAAATAGAACACACAATCTTAAGAAAAGAAATAAGAAAATAATTCATTTATAAGATTTTAAACATATGTCCCTGAACCTTCTCATCATTTTTTGAACAATTTAAGATCAAAACCAGACTATCCTCAACAATAATTGAATTCTACTCAAATTAAAAATGAATATAAACAATGTAATTTTTTATAAATATTTAAAGAGACAATTTCTAAGAATAAATATGATGATGATGAATAAATTGAGGAATAAGCAAAGTAGAGTTTTTAAAAGTTTGACTTAGATAAAGAACTAATTTTTGAGATTAAGACATTGCGTAAAATGATTCAATTATCAAAAACATAAAATTAATATTTACCTGGAATAATTAGTATAAAAACAAAAGATTAAACAAATGAGTAAGATCTAAATAGGATTGGTGTAGATTTAGTAATATTATTGAACTTATTATAGATCTGTTTGATTGATAAAAGCTCAAGTATGCAAGGTAGAAAGATAGATACCGTAAAATCAAGCTTGAAAGTTCTATTAAATTTTTTAACTGATCAAGATCGTTTATCACTAATTGTTTTTAATGATAAAGCTTAAAGATTAACTCCATTAAAAAGAACAACATAAAATAACAAATAGTATTTTCTATCAATTTTTGAATAAATTGTTTCTACAGGAGGAACATCTATAGCCTCATCAACTGAGATTGCATTTGAATAATTAAAAACCAGAAAGTATAGAAATAATGTGAGTTCAATCTTTTTACTTTCTGATGGTCAAGACCCTGATGCCATTGCATCAATAGAACAATAATTAAAATTAATAAATGAAGAATTACCTGAATTTACTATTCATTCATTTGGATTTGGAGAGGATCATGATGCAATTATGATGACATCTATATGCAATCTGAAACATGGAAGCTTTTATTTTGTATAAAATATAAATTTATTGGATGAATTCTTTGTAGAAGCTTTTGGAGGTTTGAAATCGGTTGTTGGTGAAAAATTATAAATAACAGTTACTTTACAACCTCAGACAATCTTAAAGGACTTAAAGATTTTTAAGACTTATGGAAATATGTGGACTAATAAAGGAAATTATTATGAAATTGATCTTCCTATACTGATTTAAGGCTCAAGAAAAGATTTTGTATTTGAATTGGAATTACCTAGAACAGATACAAAAATCTAAGATGATCAAAGAAATCCTTAGATTATTGATGTTAAGCTATAAATTACTGATCCAATATCAAAAATTCAAATAGAGAAAAGGGCAAGTCTAGTTTTAACAATCTTTCAGCAAGATGAATAAATAAATTAAAATGAAGAAGATGAAGAAGTTCTTACATAATACAATAGAGTCATCGCAGCATAAGTAATCGATAATGCAAGAAAATCATGTCAATAATAAGAATATTAAAAAGCTTAAAACAATATAGACAATTTATTAGTAAGATTTCAAACAAATTAAAAATTTTCATCTTAGAATCCTCAACTTATTTAAGATTTATAATAAGCAAAATAAGCATCCACAAGATAAACTTTTAACTCTTATGGTTAAGGATAAATGATGTAAATAAGTAGCAATAGTTATAAATAACAAGGAGTCAATTCAGTTTTTTCACCAGATGGCTAGCAATAATAATAAAACCCTAGATTCTAAACATTTTCTAATAACTTGTAAAGTTCAATGGTAAATACATTATAATTAAGGAAAACACAAAATTAAATTGGAAATTGAAAGCTTCCATTTTAACTTTATAAGAATGATAATTTTATATTTATTATTCATTTAAACAAATATATTATCAAAGTGGAAATGGATTTGAACCTGTTTTTTAACAGTTCATATGAATAATATTGTTCTTATTCAGTTTACATAATTGACTGATAAACAATAGTTATCAAACATCATTACCTAAGTCTTCGCTCATTAATAAATTATAATATTCATATAGGATTAAAAGTTTTTATTATATATTTATATGTAAATTACTATAATTATATAAAGATTTTTATACTAATTCTATCAAAAAAATTAATAGAGTTTTTGATTATTTATTTTATGTAGGAACGAATTCAATAAGCCTAGAAAAAGTTGAATGAAATATTTAAATGTTTTGAACTCATCAATAATTAATCCTCAGCTTCTCATATAGAGGTTTCAAATATTAATTTGTAATTAAACTCTAAAAAAATAATACTCTTATTTGGGTTTGAACATTAAGATGTAGAAGGATTTTATGTTACTTACTTAGAGAAACGTATAATTGCTATAAATGAATACATAAAAATAGTGAAAAATATAGATCGAAAATCTTGAAAACTCTGCTAATAGTTTTATAACTCATATTTTTCTTTATAATTTCTGCTTCCTATTGAGTAATTAGGATTGCATTCGAAGATTCCAGAGTTCAATAAAATTACTTAATCACTTAAAATCTAATAAATCTCTAAATTTCTGAAAAAATTGATTAACTTAATGTTAAATAAATCCAGTAATCATCTTCATGGCAACGCTTTTAAGAAAGAAATAGATACATCATATTCCAATAAAATAAATTCTCTAATTTTTTGTTACTTTAATATATATAAAGTTTGGTATTATTTTCCTATAAACAAATTTAATCTAGGTAAAATATTCATCTGGCTCTTATATGAATTATTATAAGACTAATACGATATTCATCTAAAATAAAGTAATGTTATTATAAGCATAATTGTTATATAGATATATATATAAGATATAAACAATTAGATAATAATCATTCTTTTCCATATAACTTATCTATTTCTTTATGATTTAAACCTTTAGTTTCTTTAACAAAGAAATAAAAGAATATGGTTGATAAAATGGTTAATATTGCAAAAACAATGAAAGATCCACTCATTTTAATTCCATCTAACATAAATGGAAATATATATAAAACAAGTAATTACCAGGCATATAATGTAACAAAACAAAAATATGTTCCTTCGCTTGAGTTTATTTCTGGAGCCATAGACTATAAAATATAAAATAAATTATACCCATGTAATAGGTCCTAGTGTCAAAGCATATTAAAATGAGAAGAGACAAATGATAATAAATTTAATAATGGTGGCAGCTAAAGCATCTGAATAACTTAAACCAATAATGAGTATTTAGCATATAATAAGAAAAATAAGTCCATAAAGTAATAATGGTCTTTTACCCCATCTGCCATAAACATATTTAGAAATAAATGCAGGAGTAAATTAGACAATTCCAATAATAAGTGTAAATATTGTATTTAATGTAACATCTCCATCAGACATGATAGCAAATATTTATGAACTATAGGAAAATAAAGCGAATAATCCACACCAAGTATAAACAAATACTAACACACAACCAATAGTTAATGTTTTAATATGTTTTTTAGTAAAAAGACTTAGAATACCTTCTTAATGTTCTTCATTATATTATACTCTTAATTAACATTTTAAAAGAACTTAATCTATGAATTTTGGTTAGTATATTTTCTATATAATTTTTTTTGCTGACAGAAGCATTTTGATTTAAACTAATCCAACAGGACTATCCATTTAATATATGAGAGTAACAATAAATGATCTCAAAAAATGTAATAATGCTGGAATAGCAAAAACAATCTACCAATAATATGAATCATTTCCTCTTAATTCATTATTTAAATATCCTAAGCCCATAAAATTAGCAAATAATAAACCTCCTCCTACTAAAAACCCTGCCATAACTGAAAAAGTTTCATAATATTTTTATGGACTTAATTCTTTAACATATATAGGCATAATTATAGTTGAAATACCTAAACAAATTCCATAAAAAAATCTAAATGCTAAAATGACTTCTCTATTAGGTACAACTTGCAAAATACTCAAAACTCCACATATATCAGCTATTAAAAGTGATTAATTTCTTGTTGTGTATTTTAATAGTGGCTAAGTCATAAGTGCTCCTACTACTTATCCTATAGATAATACTGCACTAAATAATCCTTACTCTTCAATCTCAGATCCTTATAGAGTGCTTAAATATATAAAACTTAATACATTTATGAAAATAAGGTTGTGAATGACATAGATAAATAGGATAAAGAGTAACCCAAAGAAAAGTTACCACTTTAAATTGCTACCAATATAATACTTAAGTGAAGTATTGAATTAACTTCTTCCTCTACTTCATTTTCTAATTACACTGTTCCTCTCTTTCTTAAATTATTTCCAAGTTATGGTACAGGAACAGATGATTATTACCTTTTACTTGAATTCTTAGATATTATTGATTAACTGTTGTCTGAGTTTAAATTCTCATCTTCTTAAGTTTACAATGGAATCACTTAACTAGTCATAAATATATTTGATAGATTTGATTTACTTTTTAATTATTTTAAATTAAAACAACTGAATAATTCCTTATTTCATTAATTAATATATAAATTATCATTTCATATATCACTATCATGCTGCAACCCATCAAATATCTTTATTGATGCATTTCAGATTATATAATTATTAAACTTTCATATTTTAATTTAATAAACTTTTTTACCCCTTTGATTTTAAGAATCTAATCCTAACACTCAATATATGGATTTTGAGCTCATTATTTAAGCTTCAATCAAAATCTTCTGAATTTATTTAGTACTATTTATTATTATTAATTATTAGTATTAATATTAATATTCTTACTAATATATTATTATTAATAATTAATAATATAATTACTAATATTAGTTCAATATTATTATTAATATTATTATTTATTATTAATTAAACTGAAATTATTGGTTAATTATATACTAAATTGTTTAATGGTCAAAATTTTCATCAGATTAAAAACTGTTTATTCTTTTTAGTCAAATAAGAGTAACTTTGAATACATCAGCTTAAAGTGTTTAATATCCGATTAAACATTTTTTATCATTTTTGGAAGGATCTTCTAGTTGTCTAATAATTTTTTTTTTTCAAAAAGTAATTATTGTAATATCTCTCATCTTCTTATACAATTTATGATATTTAGAAGCACATTCCTTAAAGAATTATTCAAGTGTTAATATAAATCTATTAGTTAAACATAATTAATTTTATGATTTCAAGGCATCTAGTAAATTATATTACTATACAGCTATATTTATAGGAAAGTGAATAATTTTTATTTGAATATTCTCTAAAAATGTAAGGATTTTTGTGAAGTCTATAAAATATCAAGACTTATCCAATTATGATTTTATTGGAATTTTTCCTCTTATATTAATTATTAAATCAAATGTTTATGTTTTATTTAATTTTCATGGAAATTTTAATTAAATGTTCAACAAAATATTGATTATATTGATTCAATTTGTCAGACATAGGAAAAAGTATTGAATAGTTTTTTTTTTAATTTTAGTGATTTTTATTAGTCTGAACGCTATTTTACACTAATAGAATTTATGAAAACATTAATTTTGCTTAAAAAAAGAAATCAAAATTATTATATTTGTTGATAGAGCAAGACATATGTTTTCGTTGAAAAATCTATCATTAAATTTCTCTCCAAAAATTCTAGAAAAATAAGGAATTGATGAAGCAAATATAAAATATATATGTAAATTCCAATCAATAATATCACTTTTAATTAAATCAAACATCTAGTTGTAGCTACATTAGAGTTCTAGTACATATTGAAATATGATATCATTCATTCATTATAAATAATTGTATAATTATTATTTTTCAGAGTATTATTGGTTAATTTTCTTTAATCAAAATAGTTTTGAAAAGAATATTAATCAAGATTATAAAAATGCAAAAACTTACAAGAATTTAAAATATTATTAGTTTGATTATCAATAATGAATGAATAAAAATGTTTTTCTTAACCTTTGAAACTGTACTTCTTCTCTTTTTCTTATTAGATAGATAAATTTTTAGCAAAACATTAAAGTAATATAAAAATATTAATATTACATATAGAGAGTTTATAGGGAAATATTAAACTAAAGTTAAAGATTCTACTTCTATGTAAAAACCTATTGTTTTGAATAGAATATATTAATAAATAAGAAAACAGAATTGAATAGAAAATGAATTATTAAGAAAAAAGAATTTTTTGTTCTGATTCTTAAAAAGAATTCATAATTAAAAGTTAAATTGAAGATAGAGAGACACTTGTCCAAAATAAGATCTGATTCATTTAAATAACTGCATATGTATATAATAATAATGAAGAAAACTTTCAATTACATGCAAGCTGATTTCTATGGGATTGATAATGGAACATTTATACTATTTAGAACATCAACATTGAGATGTAACTAATTCTGAAGAAGTAAAGGATAATCTGTATTTTGTGATCTCAAATACCCATTATTCATTTAGGCGAATTTTGGTATGCTGTATGCAAAAAAGGAGGTCATAACACCTAGTTTCATCAAATACAAAGAAGGCATATTAAAAAAACGAAAATGGTTTTTGTTTTATATGAAGCATAATTTTTTTATGTGTTATATATTAAAAACAAAACAATTCTGGTTTCTTTTTCTTTTTTAATAATTTCTATTTTTCTTTTTATTCTTGTTTCTAGCACTATTTGATATTTAAAAGATTCTAAAATATTTCTAAACTTGTATCCAAACTAGTTCGAAATTTTATTCGAAAATAATTTTCTTATAGTTATGATTGAAGTGAATAAATATTATATAAATTATAAAAAATCATAAGAATTAATATAAATAATTGTTCCTTCTTATAAGTATCAAGTTTAAATACTTTAGGGACATGAAAAAATTCAATAAACTATGTATATTTGCACAACCAAAAAATTAGGCTCAATTTTGAGAATTAAACATATATTTTATTTTTTTTAATAGAATTATTACAAATATTTAACAATGCAAATGCAATTATTAGTAATATTTAAATAATGGGAAACTGTTGTGATGGAAGAGATTAAAAATCATCGAAACAAATCTTTATAATTGGCCCTCCTGGTTCAGGAAAATCAAAATTAACAGAAAAACTATCTAATAATAAAAAATATGAATTTATAGATATTCCTGAATTAGATATGGAAAGTTCAATTAAATCTAGAGAAAAGTCAATTGAAAATTTTTAGAAATAATATAAGAAGAGCGAAAATGATAACAAATAAATTATTGGCCTAATTCTTTGTGTTAAATTTGAAAGAACAGATTTGATGAAAAGAAATCTATTATCTGTAATTAAATTTTTTCGGCAATTTAAAAACCTGATGATTCTCGTAGTGACTCATTTTGATTTAAGCGAAAATCAAAATCAAGATAAAAGGGATTTAAAAAAATCATTAAACTATCTTTTAGATAAAGATGAAGAACGAGTGATGTTTAGCAATAATTTTGAATAAGATGGTTAAGAGGTAATTGATCAAGCTATTCAAAAAATTATTGAAAAAAAAAATGAATTACAATTCACATTAAAAAATACAATATTTGAGGAGTTCGATGAATCTGAATAAAAGAAACTATTATAAAATATGTAATAATCTTTCAATAAATGTTGAGATAAATATTAGTTTATTTTTTAAGTAAAAGTTAAATTAATTCTAAACTACCGCAATATAAAAATAATTCATTAAGTCTTAAGTTAGTTTTATTATAGAAAATTTTTAAAACAATTATCTTATAAGATTTATATAGCAACAAAATGGGTTCAATATTTCAATATTTAAAAAATGATAATACGAAAGTAAATCAAGAAAATAAGATATATATATTTCTATTTAAATACTCTACAAATAGAAACATGAGGAAATTCTAATAAATGGATCAAAATTGAAAAAGTTTCCATCTTTTAATAAAACAGATATTTCAATTCATTTTTTAGACCTCAATTTTGATTTTCACATATATTATAAAAGCAATTGAAAATTGTCATTCCTTAAATTTTTTATTTTCAATATAACATATTCATATTCTAAGAAATTAGTCAAAATGTCTAACAGCATAATTAGAATAGATTTATTAAGTATAAATCTGTTAGTTTATTCTTCTAAAGTTTGATCATATAAAATTTTTGCTATTTAGCATTAATTATTTTTCTTCAAACAGCTCATGTATATGCAAAGATTTATCTTTTTTACATGCCCTCTGTCAATCTATTTCATTTAATTCTTCGAATCCCCAAACACCTTTTTAATAGATTATCAAATATATTTATATTAATATTTATTTTATTAATAAATATTATAGAGAAAGCTTTTATTTATAAATTTGAATAGATGTTAAGGAGATTTTAATTTTTTAGACCTCATTGAGTAAGAATTAATAAAGAGATTCAATATTAATGAATAAGAATGTTTATTGTCTTTATCAAATATTATTTTTTTAAGTTAAAAACACCAATATTAATATATTCGGTTTGAAGCATATAAAGAATTTCATGAATCAATAGATGAGATTTTAATAATAAATGGAATAATGATGAACAAATATTATAGAAATAAAAAAAAATACTTAGATTTATTGCAAATATATGAAATTCAAGAAGGATTCTTAAACTTGTTTAAGAAATGCAATTCATAAAGTTCAATTCTAAATTCTCTTATTAATTAAACTTAAAATTATGATTTGGAATTAAAATTGCTTTGTCTTTTAGATTTTGTAAAAATTAATATACCCACAAGAATAAAATAATGTATGCATCTTGAATGTTATGAATTAACAAGTTTGCTATATTATTAATAAAATAAAAAGGAAAATGAAAAATATTTCATATGCACTTATTAAGATTGTAATCAATAAATAGATATTTCAACTTTGGATATTTTTTTTTAAGGAATAGAAATTGATTTGAAGTTTTTTAAATTAATTAAATAAAGCAATCCAATTATAATAAAGTTTACTTTTAATTAGAATACAAAAAATTTTGTATAATATGAATAAATGCCTTTATTTGAAATTTACACTTAATATATTAGTGGTTTTAATTAAGAAACAAATATTAATGATAAATAGTAATTTGAATAGTAATGTCTATAACTTTTCTAATCAATTACACAAAATAATTTATTATTAGAAAATAAAAACTTAAGGAATAAATTATCTCAAAACTAATCAAATTCTTTAGAACTTAATCTAATTGATTAATATACTTAATTGCCTATTGATTTTCCAACAAGATGTATTAAATGTCCCGAGTATAAATGTTTGGATTTGAAAACTTTTATTATTGACTTTCTTTATTAGAATGAGTTTATATTCTGTAATGATTTTAGTATTTGTATAGATATGAGAAGTTATATTGCAGATTTTACTTATTAAAAATAAATGTTTCCAAATTAAACTTATACTTGTCCACTATGTCATATACCGTAATAGTCAACAATGTTAAGTTCTTCAATTTTAGACTATATATATCTTGATTCAAACATGCTTTAATATATGTATAATGAAATGTCTTATCTATCAGATACTTAAGTATTAGAATATAAAGGAGAATAATATTTACGTTAAGAATTTATGGTTAGATAAAAATCAGAAGAAAAGATTATATAACCAATTTAAACTAACCTGCTTAATATACAAAACTTTTTTGTATACTTAATCCAACTTTAAGAATTAAAGAACCTTTATTGCTTTCTAATTGTCCTTATCAAAATATCGTTGATTTTTAATCATTTATGATCAATTAATCAAAATTAATCAAAATTAATTTTGATATTGAAACAGAAGGACTAATTTTATGTAAATGTCAAAGTTGTAGAAAAAATCCTATTAAAACTATTACAGATTATATTCATTTTCATGAACCTTTTTATGAAGCTCTCAATAAATTTAATAAATTAGATCATTTTACACAATTATAAAAGTTTTCTTATATATTTAAATAGACAGAGGAATAGAGCTTTGTTGAGCAATCAAATAGTTCTGATTTATATTTTGAATAGATTCTTATAACCTCAGAAAATTTATATTTAATTAATAAATATACTAAAGCAACATAATATGCAAAAAATACACCTATTTAAATATAAGAATTTAATACTTATTAACATATTGTTTAATTATTTGAAGAATTTATTCTTTAAGATAAGGTTTACTTTTTAGATTTTTATGAAACTAATTAATTTATGATAATTTTTGGCAAACTTCTCTTTGAAGAAAATACTTTAGATGACTTTGATGAATTAAATAAACATATTTAAATTAGATTTCAACAAAAAACTTAAAGAATAAACTTTTGTTAACAAAGGAATTTTTTCCCATTTGAAGATAATCCATTATTGTTTTATCTTATTGAGAAAGATCCTATTTAAAAATAAATTGTATTATATTATGATGAAGATCCAAAAGAAATTTAAATAGAATTAAATTTATTTTTAAATATTTTCTAATAAATATTTTAATGTGAAGATTTTCAAATTTTCCGTGCTATTCTAAATTCTAAATCTAATTAAAAACTTGATTCATTCAAGCCTAATTGCAAATATTTTAAATATATGTTGACTGTTTTTATAATGATTTATGAACAATAAACTCTACAAGAATATATCATGATTAATGATGAAACTAGTGCTAGAGCATTTTGGACTTTACATTAAGCAAACGAATTTTCTATTTAATTATAAATAAATAAACAGTATGTTAAGACTACCTTTGTTGAAATGCTAGAATAGGCTTAAAATAAATCTACAACTGTTACAATTGCTATCATAGAAGAACCTTATTCTTATTAAGGAATTTTAAATTTATCATAAGTATAAACCTTTTTATCATTATTTTTAGTAAATATCAGACATTTAGTATTATTTTAGATCAAATAAAATTATTAAACATTCCTTTATTTCAATAGTTCTAACGATTTAATAATAATAAAGGTTGAATTTTTATGTTCATTTATAAAAATCTTCGTAACTTCACTTCCTTAAAGTACTTTTTTATTCAATTTATTAAGATTTATACATTATCAAACTATGAAGAATTAAATTAATAAATATTGAAAGTAATCCTAAATGATGATGGCATATTTATTTAATAGGTTTATATTGATGTTTCCAGACATAATATGTTTTAAGAATATAGTGAAATTACCCTAGGAGCTTTTTACCATTTAGTTATTAAAAAGAATTTGAAGTCAGAAGAGGCTATGACTAATTTAATTTACTCTTTAATTCCATATAGCCTAATTTTTACACAATTAGAATGATTCTTATTAAATTATTTTATCAAATGCCTTATTTAAGATTTTTTAAAATAGTATTTTGCTTTTTTTTTATCTAATATTAAAAAATTTATATTTAATTTTATATTAATTTAAGTTTATTAGATAACTTCTGAATTATAAAAATTTTTTGGCTAACTTTTTAATTTTAATATTAATAACTGATAGTATCATTTTCACACTACCTTTTTCAAATTTCCATGAATTTTTTTACCTATATACTAATAGTGAAGATCAATTTAAGTGATTGAAAATATAGGTAATTTTAATAATGATTTATTATCTTTTGTTAAATTAAATTTTTTTTTTGAGCAATATGTCATTAGAATTCCTTTTAAATATCTAAAAAAATATATTTAACAAATATTAAAGCATCAGTTAAAATAATTAAATCACTGGAATTTTCACATCTAAAAAGAATTTCAATAAATGATTCTACTATTTTTTATTGAATTTAAAAAAATTTAATTCTTTTTTAAATTATTCCAGAATTTTAATTTTAAATTATAATCTAATTTAATATATACTATTTATAAATTAGGACAACATACTTGCAATTTTTAATATTCCTCATCTTTAAATGAATCAGAAATTCTTCATTTGCTTTAAGATTTTTGCGATTAATGAAATGCTTCATTTAGGCTATTATACAATTTTTATTTTCGGATTTTTATACATAATATCTCTAATAACATAGCTCTTGCCTTATGTTTATTTCAATATCAATTTTTATTTTTGTTTAAAATAAACTTATTTTTAATATTTATTGAGAGCTTTTTAAGATGGTTCACAAAAATGAATTTTTTATATAATAGTTTGAATTGAATTTTGCTTAAGATGATGATATCTACATAACCATTAAGTTTCAATAATATTTAAATCAAAATTAATTATCAGTAATTGATCATAAAGGTATAAAAATCAACATTATTTCGATAAGGTCAAATTTAAAATCAGTAAAGGCTTCTTAAATTTTTAATTTTGATTAAACATAAAAAAAAAATTTTTTATTAGGATTTATATAATTATAAATTCCTTAGCTACTTATTAGTAGTAAATGAAATCGAAAAACTTTGAATTATTTTTGTTATTAATTTTTTCTAAATATATTTGAATATCTGAAGTCTTATTAATATTACCACAATGAAATGATTGCAAATATTTAAATTATTTAATATCTTTAATGTAATTTTGGTTTAGTAAGCCATATTCTAATTGAAAGATTTAAAGTAGTTGTACTTTTATTAAAAAATTATTAGTTCTATTGTTAGAAACATTATCACTTTACATCATGATTCAAAAATAGCAGAGCTTTTTTAATAATCTTGTTTGTTTTTAATTATATTTAAGTTTAAAAGAATTTATTAATTCAAAATTAATAAATTTTACAAAGTAAGCTTATTTACTTTTAAATTCATCTAAAATTGAATTAAATGGTTTATTAAAAATAAATTGATATCTAATTAATAAAGTATCCTTTAAAATAATATGATAAAGTAATACTAAAAATTCATAAATTAATCAAACAGTTTTATTAATCATTCTTAAATGAAATATAAAATTATATTGTTAATGAAAATAATTTCCTTACTAGAGGTAATTTCAACTTAGTTGTATTATTGTGATAATAGTAAAATGTCACAAAATGCAAAATATCAATTGATATAATTTATAATTGTAATGATTATTATTACATTAAACATTAAAAAATAAGATAAACAAAATAAGATTATAATAAAAAATAATATAATTTTCAATAAATAATCAATAATAAGAAGCATTAAATATTCTAATTTAAATTTCTTCTTCTTAATCATTCCAAAGAATTAAAAGATTTCCATCATTACTAACGGTACCATAAATGTATTCAGTTTAAAATTAAAAATATTATACTACATTTGTTTAAAATTAATATTAATTTTCTTATCTAATACTAACAACATTTACGCAATAACCATTTCTATCAATAATTAGTTATTTAGATTGTATATAACTTAAAGGAAATAAACTATTACAAGCTTATTCACCACCTTTAACATTACTTTGATTTAATTTCTCTTTAGAATTTAATGAGTAAAATTATAATTAATCATGAGGTCTAGATCCTCGTTCTTAAAAAGCAATTACATCATTAGTAATAAAGCATAATCTCAATCCATAAGCGTTGGTTGATATTTTTTCTACAACTTTCCATTCTGTAGTGTTATTTCCAGCCATAACCAATATTTCTTATCCTGTACCGCATGCTATTAATCTATCTCCTTTTTGATTGATAGATAAACCAAAAATATTAGAATATTAATATGGTTTACAAATCCATTCTTATTATTATTTTTATTACTATATTTCATCTGACTCTGCATTTAGATTCTAAAACCAAAATTATATGTTATCTCTAGACCCACAAAAGATAAGGTCTTCTTGAGGATGAATTACTAAACTCTATATTTGTGTTTTATCTTCTTATATTCTCAATTAATTTTAAACAATCCATTTACGATTTTACTCCTACCAAATAATAATTGTATCTGCAGCTGAGATGAATGATCGAGTTTAAGAACTTTTACTAAAGAAACTAAGGCAAAGAACTAGTTGTTTATGCTCATCTAAAACCTATAATTCGTTTAAAGTTGTTTATTGTATTTCAAATACTTTAATGTAATAACCAGAACCAACTATAACTAAATTATTGTCAGAGTTGATAGCCATTGAATAACATCTTGTTTTTTCCTTTTAAGTTATAAATGGCTTAACTTCATAAGGCAGATTATCATTATAAATTCGTTAATCTTATTGTATCATTTAATAAAATAATGAAATCAATATTTTTCTTCATTTTGTATTTGAACAAGATGAATATTCTAGAATTTCCAAAGATATGTACTTTTATCATTAATATTAAATTGGGCATGAAATTGAATATGAATCAGAAAGATTAGTTAATGAGTTATTAATTAACAATTATGAATATAATGTTGTAGAAAATTAAATTAAGACTTAGAAAAAGAGAATATACTTAATTTTTCTAAATCTCATAACCATTTGTTAAATTTAGAATAGAGATATTGCCTGTTAACTATATTTTTTTAAGCTTGTAAATAAAATTTAATTTATTTTAAAAAAATTATCTGATTATTCAAATGGGTTTGATGATAAATAAGTCTTAACAAATTTTCTTTTTCTCCTTCTAAATTTTTAATCAAAATGTAACCTTAACTTAAATGCTAAACATTTCTGATGTATAGTATGATCTTAGTAAATTTAAAATTTTCTAATTAAATTATTATATATTTTAATACAATATAATATATGGAGAAAAATAATCTTTAAAAATATATGTTATTAAGATAATCAATTCAAAAGAATATATTCTATTATGAAACTATATTTAAAATTTTGGATTAATTTAATTAATTTTATGGGTATTCATTATCTACTAGTTCAAAAGTAAGGAATATGTAAAATATAATATTTATATATGAATAATAAATAATAATCATAATTCTATAAACATAACTCTTGGTTTTGTCTTCTCTATTTTTTTTTATTAAGTATGCTTAAATTTTTAATATAAGGATCCAATAATTTGTATTACTTAGTGAAAAAATTCTGCTATAATTACCACTGATAATATAAATATATGACACCAGCCAAAAATAATTTTTGTTTCTTCCTCAAATAAATAGACGAAATCGTTACTATATACTGTGGCAGTTAATGTAAATATTAATACTGACAATTCTACTACCAATTAAATGATAAATTAAGATTTTTTATAGATTTTTCTATGTGAAAATAAGAGTCCAATTGAGAATAAGCAGATGATGCAAATAAATTTAATTTGCAACATCCCAGAATCTTAAAAATATACCAAAATAAACAAAAAGAGAATTGTTCTTATAACTTGAGCAATCTCATTTATATGTTTTAATTATTAAATAATATTTGGTATTAATTGAGAATTCTTCTCACAAATTGTTAATATTATTATTAAATAACATAACAATATTACAAATGAAATAATTGCTTGTATTATATTCAAGATATCACTAAAATCCATAACTTTAGTAAAGATTAAAATTTTAAAAATAATATCCCATCCATTAAGTAATAATATTTATTTTACTCCTTTCAAACTCATGAACTTTCCTAAATTAATAAAACTTAAGAAAAAATTATACAATTTCAAAGTTATTTTTAAAACAAATTCTGAATTTATATATGGATAAAGTTTATGTATAAAATTAAAAAATCTTTAATTAAATATATAATAATATAGAATCTTTTTTAAATATTTAATAGAGATCCAAATTAGTAATCCAATAAGGAATTAAAAAAATTAGATTTAGAAGTTTTATAATAAATTGGCATTTTATGGATATAGTTTAAATTTTCCTTCTATAAATAACTTCTCCTAATTAAGACCTAAAAACTCAAATAAATCGTCAAAATGAATAAATTCAAGCAATGGTTAAAGTGATATAATTTCACTAAGTTAAAAAAAAATGAGTAAATTGTATGGATAATTTTGATTGATGTATCTTAAGTATTATTAATATTAGAGAATAAATAAGCATTCCAGTAATAAATATTGAAATCCAATAGATAAAGATATTAAAGATAATGCAGGCAAGATATAGATAATTAATTAATTCGCCTTTAGAGATATAAAGGAATAGGATTCCTATTGTTCATTTAGATATTGAGGGAACATCAAAGTTAAAAAGTATTAATTCTATTAGAGTAACAAATCTTGCTAATTACCAACAATTTGATTGACAATTAATTTGAAGATAGGTCGATAATCAAGCAATCGATTAATTTGGAGTTCTAAAATATACTCAACAAAATGAACTTCTTGGTTTGTATCTTGAAGAATATGTAATGTGTAGTTAAAGTCTTGATTAGAGATATTTAGGATTTCAAATTGAAACTCTTGAGATAAAGGAAGAGAAGTATATACCTTAACTTATTAGTTAAAGGTGATTGAAATATATTATTTATTAAAGGTTATGTTTTAATAAGTAAGGATTAACTATGGGGCATCATAGAATGTGCATTCATTTAATTAATTACATATGCAATTGGTATTTAACAAATTGATATTGCAATTATCTTTTATAGTGTTAGGATCATAACATTATACATTATTTGGTACTAAATAATCTCCACAAATTTAAACGCATTCAGTATTTCTGAATACATAATAATAATCTTTTTAACATTCTTTTATTATTGAATTAAAATGATCTCTAAGCAAACACTAATCACCATCCAAAATGTAAGATTAATCAATACAATTTATGCAAGATATTTATGAATTGCATTCATAACAAGGTGGTTCACATTTATAACAATTAAATTAATCAAAATACATAGTTGTGATACATGATAAGCAAATTGTAGTTGAAATACAAGATAAGCATGGTTCATTACATGCTATAAATAATTATATATTTATAATTTACCTTAGCATTATTAATCATCATCATAGTATCCAAATTAGCATTCACATTTCTTAGTTACTACATTTAATTAAGAATATGGATCACATTATTATATACATTAATTTTTATCTTAACAAATTGAACATTAATCTGATATGCATTCTATATTTCATAATAAATGATGTATATATACATTCACATCCAAATTAAGTTGCAATATAACCAGGTTTGCATTTACATTCATAAAATTCATTTAAAAATTATGGTTCAATACAACTTTTACATCTAGTTTTAGTTTGTTCACATGTAAAACACATAGAATCACAATCTTAACAAATTCCATTTGAATCTTTAAATTGATTTTTATTACATCCACAGTAATTGTATAATGTAACCTAATCTTATTGTAATGTATAATTATATTAAGATGGGCATGTTAAACAATTTGTATAATGTTAATCACAAGTTAAACAATTGTCAGAACAATCTACACAATAATTTTTAATATAATTATAATATTAAGAAGAACTGCATTCACAATCTTCTAATATTACATGGCATTTTTATAATTCTTCTAAATAATCACATGGTTTATTTTGATTATTACATTTAAATGCAAAAATAATAACATTACTTTCTAAATTAGGGAAAATAGTTTTTTATCCTTATAATTTAATAGAGTATCTCATCTATCCAAATCTTTTACTTTCCTTTATATAAAATTATAACACACCCGAATTTTGATTATAATATTATTACAAAGTTGTTAAACTTGGAATGCTAAGAGGAATCTATTCAATATTCACATTCACATATGTTCCTCCAATTGAAAAATCTTTCCCTTAAGTCTACAAATTTAAATTTAATGATATTTAATTATAAACATAATTTCGAAATTCGAATAACTAATAAAATATATTGTCTAAAGATAAATTTGATGAAAAATTAAAAGTATTTGAATCTGATTGTTTTTCTAAGTTTAAAAGTATATCTTATTTATCAATATTTCTAATATTCCATCCTAAAATACTTCCTTCAAATTAATTATCCATTTCAATAGACACAATAAATTCCTTTTAAGGTATATCTTCAAATGAATTTACATTAAGAAATCGACTTCTATAACCAGAAACCCACTATATCTTAAAGTAAACATTTGGATCACTACAAATTGCTTATAAGAAAAAAGAGATATTGCTGATATAATCTGCATAAATTTTAAATCTAAGATCTTAATTAGGATCCTTTCCTATATAACCTAATAAACTAATCGCTACTAATGGAGGAAATCGATATAATTTTGTGAATTTGATTTCTTTAGGTACATTTAAACAATCTCCTTCATAGATATCACCTTCTACTGTTAGATCAGGAAAATATTCTTATTAAATTAATTAATTTGTTTACTTATACAATTAGGAGATATCCCATCATCAAAATAGCCTATAGGACAATTGCAATTTGGTTAATTTATTCTTATACCTGAACAAGTTAAGCAATATGATAAATTAGATGGATCACATGTTAAACAAGTTGAATGACATTTAGGTATACATTCTTTTCTTAATTCATTCTTTTCAAAATTAGATGGGCATTATGACAAACACTATCCTTAATGTAAATAATTATTCTAAATTTAACATTTTCATACATTGAAACAATAATAACATTAATTTATAGAAAAACCACATTCCTATTTCAAAACAAAGTAAAATCCATTACTTATTCTAATATTAGATAGTCTAAATGGATTAATATTTATATCTAATTTACTATTAATATTTACTATATTTGTTTCCAATAATCAAGGTGTCTACATCTTGTAATTATATAATTACTTCTTTAGTAAATAAACTTCTTTATATATCGTTTTCAATAATTAAAAATTATGTTGTTATTATTCCGTTAATTATTGATATTATAAATTTATTTCCAAAATTTACTGAACATACTTCAATTGGAATTGCATTTAAGATTATAGATAATTCTCTTGTATCAAAATTTGCATTAATTGTTAATAAATCTTGAGCTAATTTTTAAGATTGGAATACAAATAGAGTGACCTCATCTGTTAAATTATCATCAAATAATTAAAATTCTATAGTGATTGTCTTTGAAATTTTAAAATTTTCTATCTTAATATATTGGTTTGATGAGAATGACAACAATTATTCACTTGGAATAATTAGAGGATTTTAAATACTACCTATTTTAACAATATGTTAATTATCACTCCAATCTTTTAAAATTTTTGTTTAAATTCTTTCATACAATTTTAGATCTAATATTACATTCAGTTCTATATAGTTTGATATAATTAAATTATTAATAGGATTACATGTTGTTGTGATTAAATTGTTGTAATTTTTACAAATAATATCAGGTGATATATTTAGTACTTTAGCTGTTATTGAAATAGCATCCTGTTGCCAAGAATCAACTTGATATTAATTATTTTAATTAGAAGTAGGTTATAGAAAGCTGAAAAGAGAATAATCTTCCCCATCTAATTACTTACATAAAGGATCATATCCAGCTGAAAAATTCAAAAGACAAATCCATTATGAGATATAAAATTCTAATTATAAATAGAACGTATAAATCCAAGTGTTTTGTATCTCTGTTCTGAAAATTCCTGATCCTTGATGTACTTTAAGAGTATCTGCAGATTCATCAGGACTTAATTCAATAACTACACTATCTTCATTGATTGACATGATAAATTATTTTTTTTTTTCTACATTTGTTTTTATCCAAACTAAGATATATTATAACATTTATACTTCCTATTGAAAAGATGTCACTTTTACTGCTGATCCCATTAGCATTTACATCATAAAAATATATATTGTTCTCTTAATTTGTTCCAAATTCATCCTCAAGTTTTAGAGGTAATATAAGGTTACTAATTTAAAGAATATCATACTCTGAATCTAGGGAGAGGAACAATATTTCACTTGAAATTACTAAACAAAGAAAATAGCTAAACAGTGAAAACATTCTATAAAAATATTTATTACATTAGTAAACAAAAAAGTTGCTTTTTATTCCATAAAATTTAAATATTAATTAATTTTAATTTAAGAAACAATACTATTAATTTAATTATTTATAATTAAATTTAATTTTAATTTACTATTATTATTTTTACCTCATGGTTTTCATCAAGCACCAATGTTAATTCTTAATTGCTTAATTAGATTTTATAATAAAATTTATATTATTCATATTTTAAACTTTATCATACTACAATTAAGCTTTAAGTTTATAAGACCCATTTTAATGTATTATATACTAATATATATGGTATTTCACTATTCTAAGAAATAATATATTAATAAATGAATTTCCTTAAAAAATTGATTGATTGTCTTAAGTAGGATATTATATTTCTCCATATTCAAATTGTATCTCTAAAGTGAACATTCTTTAACAATTAATATAACTAAATATAAAAAATGTAAAATCAATATTTAATAAATAAAAAATATTAATACAAATACTTTTTAAGAGTTAAAAATTCGAAGGTTTTAAATTTCAACTTATATGAACGAATGTAAAATATATTAATCAATTAAAACTAAGAATAACTTTTTTATTGAAACATCCTTGCTTTTAATTCCAAATTTTAACATTATTTTTCAAATTTCCATTATAATATAATATATTTTCGTCCAATCTTATTGTAATTCAAATTATTTGGTAAAAAGTGTAGCTATTCAATCTTATCAATTTTAGTATAAATGATAGTACTTGAAATAAATTTAATATTAATATTAATTAGTATTTTACATGATAATTATAAATCAAATATAATAATTTAATTAGTATATTAAAAGATTTCATTATAATGAATGATTCTCAAGTTTTCTTATCTATATTTTCTATGAACTTTCATCCCAAGTTGCAAAAAGTAAACCATCATCACTCATCTTTCCAAAGATATTAAAAGAATCAAAATAAATAAATTAAACAATTTATATTTCTTCTTTTCCTATAATTTTTAATATTATTATTGTATCACCATTTTTATTCAAAAGAATTTTTTTTTATTTTTCAAATGACATAGGAAAAAATGCATTACATTAATATCTTCTCTAGATTAATTCAATTTCTTTAACTTTTTCTACATGTTAACCATTATCTTAGATTTAAAAAAGTATGATTATACTTTTCGAACGAGGTTAATACATAAAATAATCATCATCAAGAAAACAGAGTCTATATCCTTAGAACTTAACAATGACTTTTTGAATTATAACCCAACTTTCATCTTCTTATCTTCCTATAATTAATATCATTTTATCCCAACCACAAGATATAAGTTTATTTTAATTCTAATTAATACTTAATGCCCATACAGCACCTTCATGTTCATTAATTGATTATATTAATGACCATCTCATTGGATTCTTCCAAAAGTTTATATTATTACTATTTCCAGTTATAATTAGATCATAGCTTTCATTATAAATTAAACAACCAACATAAGATGAAGTAGCATCAAATTTCTTGATAATTATTGGTTTTGCAATAGGAATCATTGACCAAATATGAATTTATCCTTCTTAACTAGTAGATATAAGTTAATTGTATTTCTATAAAATTGTCATTGTTGTTAGAAATGATCTGTGACTGGATAAGATTCTTATTAGATTTAATTACCCTTTAATAATATACAATACTTTAATTAAAGTTTTACATTAAGCCATCAATATTGAATTTCCTTTTGAAAAAACCATTGATTAGCACCAATCTTTTTATTTTAATTGACTGTATAACTGATATTCAGATTATTATTGAGTATCTTATTCTAAGTTTTTTTATTTTAATGATTTTACTCTATTCATTATAAAATTAATTTATAAATAAAATGTCTCATTAATTAATAGCCAGATATAAGTTCTTAAGATAGAATAAACATTAAGAAAATACTCTATTAATAGAAGTAAATTACAATTGATAGATTATTATAAATTTAAAATTGTAAGAATAAGTCTATTATTAAAAATACTAACATTTTAAATAAAAAAGAATAATTTGATTATTCTTAGACTTTGTAGTTCTAATTAATAAATTTGTATTTTTTATTAATATAATAAAATATATATGAGTTTATTAATTTAATTTACAAAATAGAAAAAATGTGATTATTGTAGGTGTATATTAGAATAGAATTCTAATTAATAATAAATTCAATAATGTTTTATTTATTATTATTAAATATTCTTTAGTATTAATTCTCAATATCAATTATATTATTGCTATAAATCGTCTTATCATGTCTAAATTTTTATTTCTTAGATTTTTTTTGAAATGTTAAATTATTTATTCAAGAAATATTTAACAAAATCTTATTACTGTGATTAAAATTGATTTTTTATTTGGATTTTCTTAGACAGGCTCATATTAATTTATACAGAATTCAAATTATTAAATAAATTTAGCTTAACTAACAATCAAATAACTTCTTATTTATATCATAAATTGTTATGAGTAGAAAAAAGTTTAATTTAAGTTTTTTTATTCGATTATATGGTAACTTATATTTATTTTTGCAAAATCAAAAACAAATTAGAGAAAATATAGAAATAGATTGATCCAAAAGAAAAAAGGTTTATTTTCTAGATTTTAAAAATAAATTTATTACCTTAAGAGAATGGTTTGAAGAGATGATCTAAAATTTATTTTATAATACAATTTTTCACAAATTATTAAATATAATAATTAATTTCCATTTATCATCATTACAAACAGATTTTTAAAAGTAGATGACAAATTAAATAAATATAAAAATTCATTTATCTTTGGAGGGTTTGTGTTTTTATTGAGAGTGATTATTAAGTTTGTCAAGTTATAAATAGAAATAAAAAAAATAAAATGAATAAATTTATTCAATTCATCAAGATTATATTTTAAAAAATAGATCTTATTAAATGATAAATCAAATTTTAATTAAATTTGAAACAACAACTTTTTAATTAATTTAATAATACATAATTAAAAGCTAAGTTGTCATATTTAATCAGAGATAATTAATTTATAACTTTAAATGAAATGAAATTTATATATTAATGAAAAATAATAAAGGAAGTAGAAGCATTTCATCATCAGATTCAAGTTATCAAAAACAATGTGATAATTATTTCAATTAGGGGTAGATAAAGAGTTTTTAATAAAAGAAGGTATATAATATTGAAATGAACTTGAAAGAAGCTTAAAGTTTAGAAGATTAAGTATGTGAAAATAAAGTAGATGCTATGGAATAAGAATAGATTGATATAGATGCTAAGAAAGAAGAATATAAAAATAGCATTAAACTAAATATTTTTGCAAGATAGCATAATATATAATTAGATGAATAAAGTTAAATTATGCCAGTAGTTATATAACTTTAGTCTATAAAAGAATAAAAAACATTTAATAGAGCAAACATAGATCTTATTTGTGTAGTTGATGTAAGTGGTTCAATGGAAGGTGAGAAAATAAAATTAGTACAAAATTCATTGAGATATATATAAAAAATCCTAAAGCCTGAAGATAGAATTGCATTAGTTTCATTTGCAAGTTCAGCTTATGTAAATTTAGCTTGGACTAGAAATCTTCCTGAAAATAAAAAAAAAATAAAGAAAGCAATAAAAAGTATGAAAATAAGAGATTCTACAAAAATTGCTGATGGCTTTGATTTAGGAGTAAGAATGATTAGAGATAGAAAATATAAAAATTAAATAACTAACATGTTTATTTTGAGTGATGGTGTTGATGATGATAAAGGTGCAGATTANCAATTATATTATTGCTATAAATCGTCTTATCATGTCTAAATTTTTATTTCTTAGATTTTTTTTGAAATGTTAAATTATTTATTCAAGAAATATTTAACAAAATCTTATTACTGTGATTAAAATTGATTTTTTATTTGGATTTTCTTAGACAGGCTCATATTAATTTATACAGAATTCAAATTATTAAATAAATTTAGCTTAACTAACAATCAAATAACTTCTTATTTATATCATAAATTGTTATGAGTAGAAAAAAGTTTAATTTAAGTTTTTTTATTCGATTATATGGTAACTTATATTTATTTTTGCAAAATCAAAAACAAATTAGAGAAAATATAGAAATAGATTGATCCAAAAGAAAAAAGGTTTATTTTCTAGATTTTAAAAATAAATTTATTACCTTAAGAGAATGGTTTGAAGAGATGATCTAAAATTTATTTTATAATACAATTTTTCACAAATTATTAAATATAATAATTAATTTCCATTTATCATCATTACAAACAGATTTTTAAAAGTAGATGACAAATTAAATAAATATAAAAATTCATTTATCTTTGGAGGGTTTGTGTTTTTATTGAGAGTGATTATTAAGTTTGTCAAGTTATAAATAGAAATAAAAAAAATAAAATGAATAAATTTATTCAATTCATCAAGATTATATTTTAAAAAATAGATCTTATTAAATGATAAATCAAATTTTAATTAAATTTGAAACAACAACTTTTTAATTAATTTAATAATACATAATTAAAAGCTAAGTTGTCATATTTAATCAGAGATAATTAATTTATAACTTTAAATGAAATGAAATTTATATATTAATGAAAAATAATAAAGGAAGTAGAAGCATTTCATCATCAGATTCAAGTTATCAAAAACAATGTGATAATTATTTCAATTAGGGGTAGATAAAGAGTTTTTAATAAAAGAAGGTATATAATATTGAAATGAACTTGAAAGAAGCTTAAAGTTTAGAAGATTAAGTATGTGAAAATAAAGTAGATGCTATGGAATAAGAATAGATTGATATAGATGCTAAGAAAGAAGAATATAAAAATAGCATTAAACTAAATATTTTTGCAAGATAGCATAATATATAATTAGATGAATAAAGTTAAATTATGCCAGTAGTTATATAACTTTAGTCTATAAAAGAATAAAAAACATTTAATAGAGCAAACATAGATCTTATTTGTGTAGTTGATGTAAGTGGTTCAATGGAAGGTGAGAAAATAAAATTAGTACAAAATTCATTGAGATATATATAAAAAATCCTAAAGCCTGAAGATAGAATTGCATTAGTTTCATTTGCAAGTTCAGCTTATGTAAATTTAGCTTGGACTAGAAATCTTCCTGAAAATAAAAAAAAAATAAAGAAAGCAATAAAAAGTATGAAAATAAGAGATTCTACAAAAATTGCTGATGGCTTTGATTTAGGAGTAAGAATGATTAGAGATAGAAAATATAAAAATTAAATAACTAACATGTTTATTTTGAGTGATGGTGTTGATGATGATAAAGGTGCAGATTAAAGATGTAAATAAGTTATATATAGTTCTAAAATAAAAGATCCATTTACTATTAATACTTTTGGATATGGAAATGATCATGATCCAAAAGTATTAAATCATATTTCAAACCTTAAAGGAGGTTAATTTTTTTATATTGATAATATTTAAACATTATCAGAACGTTTTATCTTAGCTATGAGTGGTATGTTATCAATAAAAGCATAGAATGCAATGTTAAATATCAAATAGCTCAATTAGAATTTTAAAATATTCAAGATTTTTGGAGATGATTATTTTTGGTAAAAAATTAATGATTCAGAATATTAATTAAATCTAAATTATATTATTGAAGAAGATAATAAAGAACTTGCTTTAGAAATAGAAATACCTAGCTAAAATTAATTTGATATATAATAAGTTGATGTATTATAAGTTGAATTATAAGGATTATTAATTGAAATAAATACAGAATTTTTAAAATAGTCTTAATTAACATTATAATTAAGTAAATAATAAGTTTCAGCAGAACCAAATGAGTTAGTAGAAGTTAATTATTTAAGAGCAAAAGCTGGAGATATTATTGGATAAGCAAAAGAATTAGCTAATTACAGAAAATTTGATTAAGCTTAACAATTATTAAATAAAATGATTGATCAAATTGAAGAATCCTTTTTTAAGAATAATAATTAATTACTTCTTGTTGTTAAAGATTTAACCAAAATAAAAGCTATTTGTCAACCATAAAAATATTAAAAAGGTGGAGAAGCATTGATGTTACATAAATAAAAAAAACACATTAAACGATAAAGATCAATAAGTATAATTTTTTATATTATTTAATTAGGTAATTCTGAAGAATGGTGTTCATAAGAAAAATTCTAAATGAAATAATTTAGAAATGGAGATTTAGAATTAAGTTAAAGTAATGATTCAGATTCATTAAGCTTCTCGTCAAAAAGCAAAAGTTAATCAATAAGTTCTGCTTCTTAATCTCCATAAAGAAGTCATAAAAATCATAATAAATTAAGAAAAAGAAATAGAAATAGAAGTAGAAGTTCTGATTCAGGATCTTAAAGAAGAATTTAATAAAATAGAAATAGAAGTTCTGATTCAGGATCTTAAAGAAGAATTAAATAAAATAGAAATAGAAGTTCTGATTCAGGATCTTTAAGAAGAATTTAATAGAATAGAAATAGAAGTTCTGATTCAGGATCTTAAAGAAGAATTTAATAAAATAGAAATAAGCATTCTAAATCTAGATTTAACTATAGAAGATCTAAATTTTCGAGATCTAATTCAAATTCTAAAAAATTTAAAAGGAATAGATCAAGGAGTTGATTTTATTATTTATAAAAATATTTTTAGATTTTTATATCTTAATCCAAAAACAATATTGTATTTTAACACATTAGTTAAATTATTGAAATATTAATATCTAATTATTTTTACAGAATTTCAAAGAAATGTTAATAAATAAGATTTATTATTATTCTATCATAAAATTTATTATGCTCTCAAACTTTAGAAAAAATAAATAGGTAAAAGATCTTTTTTTTACTTCTGAATGTTTACAACATACAATTTTAAATATTATGTATCAATATCTTAAATCAAATAAAATTAGATAAGGACCACCTCTGCATTATTTTTTTATAGAAAAATCTAAACATATGAATTTATGTATATAAATATGAAATATTTTATATGAATTCATATAATTGAAAACCAATTAAAAATAATTCAAAAAATTAGAATAATCTAAATAAAGGTTATGATATATTGTTTGAAATTTCTAATATCCTTAAAATTGATACTGTTACTGACAATATTATTGATATTAACCTGAATATTATATCAATTCAAATCGTATCATTTAATATAAAAAAGATTGAAATATGAATTAGGATTATTTAATGGAATTCATAAAATTATTTAAAAAAGTATTTCTGTGTCAATGGAATCAATTTAAGAATCAATATTTTTCTCCCTTTTTCGTTCAAATCTAAATGAGGATTTAGAAAAGAATTTAAAAAATCGTTATTTATCTTAAATTTTACTTTTTGCTATTTAAATTAGAAAAATGAGCTATTAAGTAGTTTTACGTTGATAACTTAAGGATTAATATCATTCTTAAATTTGTGGAAAACTTTCTCATTTGGTATTTTCATTTTAATAATATATATATTTATTATTTGTATTTCACTTAATTAATGGAATGGGATTTATTTCATTAGAATTTTGAGTTATGAGAACTTATATAGAATAATGATGTTAGATTCTAATATTTTTTTTTGAATCTCAAACTGTTCTCCTTGGTATTTAACTTAATCAGAAGTGTTTTTACTTTCCCTTTTATATTTATATTTGCATGATTGACATTTTTGAGATTTTCCATTTAAATAAAATTTTGGTTTGAGTTACTCAAATTCTTACAATCTAATAAATCTCTAAAAATTTGGTGAGTTGTTTAATCTTCTTTATCACAATGATTTTAAGAAAGTAATATATCACATTCTCTGTATTATTTACTCAAGGATTAAATTAATCCTTTTGTTTCTTTTACTTTAATATATTAAGGGTTTGATACTTTTTTCCTCTAAACAAATTGAATTCTAGAAATTCTTATACAAAATATTCAATTTGCAATTACACAAATATTATTTGAATGATGATGCGGCTATTTCAACACTAATTAAGGTAATGGCATATATTTTCTAATTGTAAATTATAATATAAAATATAGTATACAAAATAAATATTCAATTAGTTGTTAACCCTATGTATTACTTTAAATTTCAATCGTATTTAAATAAATGCAAGTGTTCATTCATAAGTATATGAATAGAAGTCAGCTAATTTTACATATCTACTTCTCATTATATAAATTAAATAACTGTATGAATAGGATATTTGTAATATATATGAATAATTAATTTTAATCATTCTTTTCCATATAACTTATCTATTTCATTATGATTTAAACCTTTTGTTTCTTTAACGAAAAGATAAAAGAATATAGTTGATAGTGTTGTTAATATTGCAAAAACAATGAAAGATCCACTCATTTTAATTCCATCTAACATAAATGGAAATATATATAAAATAAGTAATTACCAAGCATATAATGTAACAAAACAAAAATATGTTCCTTCACTTGAGTTTATTTCTGGAGTCATAGACTATAAAATATAAAATAAATTATACCCATGTAATAGGTCCTAGTGTCAAAGCAAATATAAATGAGAATAGACAAATAATAATAAAATTAACAATGGTTGCAGCAAATGAATCTATATAACTTAAACTAATAATTAGTATTTAACATATAATAAGTGAAATGAGTCCATAAAGTAATATTGGTCTTTTACCCCATCTACCATAAACATATTTAGAAATAAATGCAGGAGTAAATTATACTATTCCAAGAATAAGTGTAAACATTGCATTTAATGTAACATCTCCATCTGACATTATTTCAAATATTTATGAACTATAAGAGAATAAAGCAACTAATCCACACCATGGGGTAATAAATACTAAGACACAACCAATAGTTAATGTTTTAATATGTTTTTTAGTAAAAAGACTTAGAATACCTTCTTAATGTTCTTCATTATATTATACTCTTAATTAACATTTTATAAGGACTTAATCAATATATTTTGGTTAATATATTTTCTATATAATTTATTTAGCTGATTAAAGCATCTTGATTTAAACTAATCCAACAGGACTATCCATTTAATATATGAAAGTAACAATAAATGATCTCAAAAAATGTAATAATGCTGGGATAGCAAAAACAATCTACCAATAATATGAATCATTTCCTCTTAATTCATTATTTAAATATCCTAAGCCCATAAAATTAGCAAATAATAAACCTCCTCCTACTAAAAACCCTGCCATAACTGAAAAAGCTTCATAATATTTTTATGGACTTAATTCTTTAACATATATAGGCATAATTATAGTTGAAATACCTAAACAAATTCCATAAAAAAATCTAAATGTTAAAATGACTTCTCTATTTGGTACAACTTGCAAAATACTCAAAACTCCACAAATATCTGCTATTAAAAGTGATTAATTTCTTGTTGTATATTTTAATAGTGGTTTGGTCATTAGTGCTCCTATTATCTATCCTATAGATAATACTGCACTAAATAATCCTTACTCTTCAATCTCAGATCCTTATAGAGTGCTTAAATATATAAAACTTAATACATTTATGAAAATAAGGTTGTGAATGACATAGATAAATATGATTAAGAATACCCATAAGAGAAGTGACCACTTTAAATTGCTAATAATATAATACTTATGTGAAGTATTGAATTAACTTCTTCTTCTACATCATTTTCCAATTACACTGTTCCTCTTTTACTTAATTTTGTTGGATTTAATAGAGCAGGTACAGACGATTATTATTATTATTATCTTGTTTTTGAATTCTTAGAAATTATTGATTAACTCTTATCTAAGTTTAGATTCTCCTCTTCTTAAGTTTATAATGGAATCACTTAACTTGTCATATTTATATTTAATAGATTTGTTGTACTAAAAAATAATTTTATTAAATCATCTAAAATATTCTTTCTTTGATTAAAATATGGATAATTTTTCATTTCTTATTTCACTATCAGGCTTGCAACAAATTAAACGTCTTAATGATGCATTTCTCAGTATCCTATATATTTAAATTTATTAAACAGTTATCACTTTTGTATATAATCCTAACACCTAATATAAGTGTTTTCAGATCTTAATATAAGCTCTAATCAAATTCTTTTTTTATTTTTACTATTCTTTATTATTAATATTATTCTTTCTCTTACACTTATTATTTATTATTTATTAAACATTATATTATTCTTAATTATATAATAAAATCTTGAATACTTCTGTTAAATTTTAAACATCTTAATTGTTTCTCTATTTAACTAAATTTAGTTGTTGATTTAATATTCCATTTTATTCAACAGATCAAAACCTCTTAGTTCTTTTTTAATAAATTAAATACATTAGTCAATAGATTAGAATAATTGATAGTTACTTGTTATCATTTTCTGGAGGATCTTTTCGTTGTCTAATCATTTTATCAATATATTGGTTGTAATTTTATATAAATTTCTAAAATGTTACAACAATTTATTTAGAAGTACATCGTGGTAAAGAATTTAAAAAAAATAAAAATCAATCTATTAGTAAGTTTTCGTCAATTTTTTTATTTTGGGCAATTATGATTCTATTCTTTGTAACTAGTTTTATAAAGGCAAATAATATTTATTTATAATTTTCGTTAAAATTAAAGGATTTTATTAAGTCCAAAATAAATAATAGGCACAGGATTAGTATTTTTCTAATATATTATTAAATCAATTTTGTATGAATTAATTTTCATGTAATGTTCATTTAAAGATCTTAATTAAATAAATATCAATTAGTTGATTATATTGCTTCATTTTACCATAAATAGGAAAAAGTACTAAATAGGTTTTTTATTTTTTAATAATAGTGTTCAATTATCAAAATTTTATTAGTTTGATCTAGATATGCTATTTCTTGAAGACATTAATTTTGTTTTAACAAATTTTATCAAATTTAATTATAAGTATTTAACTAGCCAAACTTTTGGTTTCATATAATAAAAAATTAATAAGTTTCTCTCTTTACGATAAAAATATAAAATATATTTAAACTCTAATCAACTAAATAACTTTAAAAACTTGAATTTCATCAGTACAATCTTAAGTTGTTATCTTTAATTATATTAGCCTTAGAATATCACCCAAATTGATATATCAAATTTAATCTAAATAATATGTCTACTATTGAACTAAAAGGTTATCAAAGAATAAGTTTAGAATAAAATGATTTTTAGTAATTTATTGTCTATTATAATTAATAAAGTCGAATTTAAATGTTATAAAAATATTATTATAATTATTTTAATTGATGGTATAGTAATTGAACTAATTTTCTTTAAATCAAAGAGATTGATTAAGAATTCACTCATTCTTATTTTGATTTGACATTTAATTCTAAATAAAAGAAAATTTTGGAAACAAAGTCAAATATAATTAATCAATAAAATATTTATAATAGTC